ATTCTTCATTTCTTTTCCACCAATCAACAATACTGGCGTTTTACATAAAAATGTATATAATTATTTATAATAAAGTTCCTTGATTTGAAAATTTTATTCCCTCCATCCCAGTTTTTTATATTTTTTTTTTTTTCACATTTTTTTTATTTGTTTTATATATAATTGTAAATTTAAACCGTGGCAGAAATAAGAGGAAAAAAAAATTTCGATTTTCAAGTGTTTAATTTCATTTTATTAAATGTATTTTTTCTGGTTAGAATATTAAGTTAGCCGTTTTTAAAAATCGGCTCAAAACGAACGGTTTAACAACACTATAAAATGGAATGGTATAATATTTATATTTTAATGTTTGAGGCGTTATTTTATACTGTAATTTTGTACGTTATTTATGTTAATTATTTATAAAAAAAATATTTATATATATAAAAAGGACATTTTTTATATCTTAATAATCACATTGAAATTTTTTGAATAAATACAATTATTTGTGTGTGTCATCATAAATTATATTACCGTTCTCTTATTATTATCGACGTTAGCCCAGCCCCCCCCCCCTTTGCAACATAGTGGAGGATAGAAATATATCAAAGTCAAAGTTCATTTAAAAACATTGGACCTGGAATTCTTAGGTTGAGAATATTGTTGATGAAGCCATAAAATATATTTAAATTGTTCGAAACGATTGATAAAGAGATGGCGGATAGCATTATGGACAATTTATCGTATCAACAAATGAAAGATAAGCCTTTGTCGAAAATACCCCTCTCGAGGTACTTCTGAGTGTTTGCTGATTTGAGATCCTAAATTTTTGAAAAATCTTTGAAAAAAAAGCTAAAGTAAGTTTTGCCGAAGGTGGCCAGTGTGGTAGAAATGATTGGAATGAAACAATGGTCATTAGTAATTTCTGTGTATTTCGAGGTTTTAAGCTGCTGTTCAATGATGTTGAGGGCTTGGTTAGATGGGGCAAGGGGGTCAATACATGAATAGTCCCATACCGATAATTGGTATCTCCTTCCAAGGAAAGTGAGAGATCCTATAAGGTCGTTTAGCATCAGATCTGAAAAAGATTTAATTAATTCTCGTGAGGAGGAATAATTGCATATGGTGATGCACATCTTCGTGTAATTTTTTTTAAAAAAAATAAAATAAATAAAAGATTTATCTTTGTTGATAAATGCTGTGGTTGGAATTTGTCTATTTTTTTTATATTATGTAATATTTATAAATCGATACTTGAACAAGAGTTTTATTTTCCCCTTAAAAAACAAAAAATTGCTAAGCTTGGTTCAACCTATTTTAATTTTTTTTTAAATCCCAGCCTAGTCTATGTTTATTAATTTTTTTTTTAATTTACATTATAATTGTACATTCAATCCGAAATCATTAAAAACAAAAAATTTATCATATGTGATTTTTTGTTAAATTCTTATGTAAATTTTAGGATTTTATGGTGAAATAAATTTTTATCCTATTGAGAAGGAGAATAGTATTATTTTTTTGTGTTTGTTAAAGCTATGATATCGAACTTACTCTTTAATGGAATTAACTTAATCTTTTTCAACACCTACTTTTTTAGGGCTTGACAAATTTTGTAAATTGAACAAAAACTAGGACACTTTATAAATAACATTAATAAATATCATAAAATTTTTCAAAAATATTGAAAGATAAAGACTGTATTGTATAATATATAGATTTGGATGGTGCTTAGCAATATATGAATTAATAGATCCAAAATAAAGTAATTATGCATTATTTTATCTAAAATTTAATTGTTAACCCCCCCCCCCCAATAAATTTACTTAGTCTACCCACCTATCTTTCTCCTACCATCTCAGGGGCCCCTACAACGGGGGGGGGGGTCCGAAGCAACTGCTTCAGTAAATTTGAGTGGGGGTACTTTTTTTTTACATCCATCATGATCATGTGATTTCTGGTTTATAAATGTAACAATAAGAACCACCACCCCCCCTCCACTTAATATTTAATTTGATATATTGACGGAAATTTTGGTCGATGTTTAGTAAATTTGTTATCCAAAATTTCTTGTCATTAATTATTTTTCCAATTTTAAAATATGCCTAAAAATATTAACCAATATTGACAATAGCAAAATTCCTAGAAATTGGATTACTTATAGTATTAAAATGTATAAAGTTTTTTGCTTAACATGTCTCTTATTTGGTGGTCCACATGCAAATTCAAAATGGACATGTGAAGGTCTAGATAAATGACAAAATATTAATCGTGATAATATTCTGCATGAATCTTCACAGGCACATATGGCCGATTATGGAAGGTCTTCTCATAATAAAAATTCGATATTAAAATTTATAACACCTCAGAAAGAAAGTGTAGATAATAACCGTTCTATTATAAGAATTATAATAAGATGTTTAGATTATTTAATATCTCGTAACCATGCCTTCTGGGGGAACAGGCAACAAGAAGGCAATATGATGACCCTTATTAAGCTTTTTGCAGATTCTGAACCTATACTAGAAAGAAAGAAAGAAAGAAAGAAATGTATATACAGCAAAATGAAGAAAGAAAAAAGGATAAAAAAAGATAAGGAATTAAAAACAAAATTATATTCAAACCTATTATCATATAATAACATAAACATTCTCATTGAAACCATGAAAAATATAATATTAAAAAAATTCAAAATGAGATTACATTTAACAGGTGCTTTTCACTCATAGTTGATGGCACATACGATGTTTCGAAATCAGAAGCAATAGCTTTGATAGTAAGATATGTTGAAAATAGTGAGACGCCGAAGCCTGTTGAAAGACTGATTGACATATATTGTGGGAAATACCACAGGTCTCGATATAAAGCATAATATAATATCCAAACTTGGCTCGATGAATTTACCACTTGAATATCTAGTTGGGCAAAGTTATGATGGCGCCTCAAACATGAGTGGAAGAATCAATGGTGTGCAAGCCTTGATTAGAGCAGAGGCGCCAAAGGCAGCTTTTATTTGGTGTTATTTTCATCGATTAAATTTAATCGTTGTTCAATTATGCCAATCAATTAAAGAACTTCGAAATGTTCTAGGAATACTAGAAGAGATTTATGACTATTTTAATGGTGTAAAAAGATATGAGTGAGGTACTCAAAAAATTTCAGTGTAATGATCTGAAAAAATCGCAACGATTTCTACGCGTCAAGAATACCACTCAGTAATAGTTCCTTATTTATTTAAATTTTTTTTTTATTTGGCTATCGTCATATAAAGCTATTGTAAATTTTTTTCAACTTTATGATGCCTTGAGGGCAGCTTTAACAAATTTATAGGATTCTGAAGATCCTGCCACTTCCACTATGGCTAATGCTATAGTCTTTAGAATAGAAAAATTTGATTTTATCTTATCACTTTGTGTTTTGGATAAAATATTGTTGATAACAAGTTTGGCTTGTATAAAATTGCAAACCATTTCGAAGGATATAGGGTATGCAATAAATCAAATTCAATTGACAAAATTTTGCTTGATTAATTTAAGAAGTATAATATAAATTATTGTCTAAATTATTTTTTTATCTAATAGATAATAACACTGAATTTTTGGATGTTTTTTCAAAGGCGCAAGATTTTATGAATTGATTTTGAAAGTTCTAGAATTCAAACATTACAATCCAAAAAGGAAAGGTATATATACTTTAATCATTAAATATAGAAATTTTACTTAGCTTTAAAATAGGTGTGTTTTATGCTGCACTCTATTTAATTATTATGCAGTTTAACGAAAGATTTAATGATGATTCCATGAAATTTTTACATCAAACATCATTTTTTACACCAAAGGGAATGGCAGAAAAATTAATTATTAAAGAAGATATCGAGGATATCTGTGAATTTTACAATTTAAATTCAAGTCAAGTTTTCGAAAAAATGTTGAAGTTTAGAAATATTTATAAGATGGCCAAAATGGGAATGTAATTATTACTCATGACCTAGAGGTTCAAGAATCTAAAGATTTATCAGATTCTGAGAATTGTAAATTTTTTATTTAAATTATTTTTACCAATACATTATTTAGCTTCTTCAGATGATGATGATAATTCAGAGACTTACGATTCAGATTGGAAAAACTATTCATTTATTTTACCTTATCGTTTACTTTTAAATTTTTCTGCTTTCCCTAATTTAAGAATTTTATATAAATATTTATTAACCATTCCCATAACCTCATGTACTGCCGAGAGAGTTATGAGTAAAATTAAATTAATTAAAACAACAGTACCATGAAAGATTCTTTTCTCAATAATTTAACCATATCAATGAAAAAATTTTTATTTAAACAATTAAATACTGATGAAATTATAAATTCTTTCGCTTTCTCTTCCCCTAATTTATCTAAATTATTAATTTAAAAATAATATTTATAAAGTTATATTTTTTGCATTATATTTATATTATATATTAAAAATTGTTGCAATAAAAATTATTTTTGAAATTTATGGGTGTCATAATTATCATTTTTTCGAAAGGGGGGGGGGTACCTTTCAAGGCGGTACTGTTCGTGGGGGTATTCTGCTTCATTCGCTCAAAAAGTGTAGGGTCACTGTACCACCTTATAAAAATTTGGAACAAAATGCTCATGCACCTGCCCTTCTCTATAACTCATAGAGAAGCTGTCCATTTATCATTAGCCACAAAAGCCCTCAATGTACTCATGGGAAAGGATAGAGTAGGCCATTATAAATACTTCTTAAGAATAATTTGTAAAATATAAATGAATTTATAAATCAGTTATGCAATTATTTCTTTTTAAAATTTGATCCTTTTTATCGATTTAATAATTAAAATTATATAAAGTTATTATATTCCCATATAAACTGCATATATGATATATTTAAAAAAATATATAAATAAATAAATAAAAGATTTTTTTAAATGGTCATCCTCTTCCAAACGAACTCAAATTTTAGTAATATATTTGAGTGTTGTTTAGTAAATATATGCTTTTTATTGACTCAGTATTATTTAGCAATATTATTTTCAAATACATTCGTTCATTTCTAGATCATCATGTTAAAAAAAAATTGATGTCAGAAGCTAAAACGTGCTTACTAATTGGAGGAATAGAGGGGTAATAATTAATTTAATATTTAATTATTTACAATATTAAAACTATAAAACCTAAAATTAGACTGTTAATGCTTCCTATGATGATAATTATAAAATGCCTATAATATTAAAGTTTATTTAATTTTTTATATTGCCTTTATTATTTAATACCTATTAATTTTAAATTTAAGCTATATTAAGACACAATATATATATTATATTTTAAGGGGATCGACTCAGTCTACATGTATTATAATAAATCAGAATGGTGAAGTGTTGTCTAAAGTCATTGGCCCTTCAACCAATCCTTGGGTTAGTTCAAAGACATTTTTTGACACATATAATTAAGACAAAGCTATGTGATTATTCAAATATAGCTCATATAGGATAATGATTTAAATATTTAATATTAAATAATGATTTTTCAATACACTTTTTTTTAAAAAAACTATCTATAAATATATTTTTAAAACTAAATAATGCGATAAAACAAACCCATTTAAAAATTAATTCTAAGTGTCAAATAGCTAAGAATGCTAATGAAAGTTCAAGTAGAAAGAATTAATCATCAAGGTCCCCCCTTTTTGCTTTTATATTAACCACCATATCTTCTTACTACCGATCACTGTATTGACACATTAAAAGTAAATAGCCTTTTTGATATGATCTGAATGTTGAACTAAAAATTGCTACAACTAAAACACAAATAAATAAATCAACAATACTTCAAAAATTGCTTAACAATGTAAACACCTTTGCTCTCTGGGTGCATCGTTCCCTTTCCTATGGTCACATTTATATTTATTAGGGCTGTGCTGATCCACATATTTTTCACCGATCTGATCCAATATTGCTTCAAAGCCGATCCAATATTTATACTGATTTTTAATCACACCCATTTGAACCAATGTAATTAAGAAATCAATATTTTTTATGCAAAAAATCGAATTATGAATTTAATTTAATTTTTTTATTTCTACAATTAAGACTATAATAAAAAAAATATATATTTAATAATATATCCATTATGTTGGTATGAATTATAAAATTTTAATATTTAATATATAAAATTATAATACATTAGATTTTTTTAATAAATATGAGAGCCTCCAGATTTTCTGGGAATAAGCTTCTACGATATGGACTATCTATATCTCCTGCAGTACTGAAGGCAGACTCAGATGATTCCACAGATAACGCATTTTGCAAAATTATCTTTGCCTTTTGTAAAATATTTCCATAATTCAGATACCATATTTAAAAAAATTCTTTTATTTAAAGTATAAATTAAAAATTGGCGTTATTTAAAAAGATTTAAAATAAATAAAACTTTGGGTGTTCCTCTCTATTTTTATAAAAAAAAACTTTTAAAATACTATAAATCTATTTTAAAAAAGAAATTAAATTTTAAAAAATTATTTAGAAAATATTATAATGCAAAATAAATATACATAACATAAAATAAAATAACAAAAAAAGAAAAGTAAAAAATCGTTTACAGGTATCCGCCCGATGCGATATTTCCGGGAAACGCTAAATATCGATACCGATCCGATATTTAATATCGGCACAGCCCTAATATTTATAATTCTCAAGCACTTCATTTATCCTTACCTATAAGTCTACATTATTTTACTATTTTAAAATATATTTTCAAAGATACCACCGGTAGGATCCAACCAAATATGCAAATTAATTGGGGTAGGGGGGGGATATTGGGGCTAGTGGCCGATTTCTAACTAACTATTTAATTATTGTGCTTGCACAAAGGTTTGAACATCTATTAACAAAGTCTCGATGCTTAGACAACATTTTTCTGGCCAAAATATTGAGTTAGCCTCCAATTTACCCTTTTAACAACACCAGTGCTGACCTTCGTTTAAGGTATATAAAAAAAAAATTTCCCACAAATTCAAAATTATTTATCATAGTGTTGTTAAACGGCTCGTTTTGAGCCGATTTTTAAAAACAGCTGACTCAATATTTTAGCCAAAAAATATCGCCTACGCCTCGAGATTTGACTAATAGATGTCCTAACCTTGGTTCCTTCTATAAACAAAATGTTCAGGCTCGCGTAATATTATTCTAGATGAAATATTGAGTTAGCCATTTTTAAAAATCGGCCTCAAAACGAACCAATAACAACCCTGCACGTGACATTTCATCATGTGTAAAAATGATTTTATTTATTAATAAATTAGAAATTTTAAAAAAAATTTGAATGGGGGAAAATCTTTATTTATTTTAAAAATATATTATAAAATAATTTAAAAAAAACGATTCATTTTATTTTTAAAATTAAAAATATATATAGAAATAAAATTAATATTAAAATTAACATATCAAATATAAAATAAAATAAAACAATATTATATAAAAACGGAGGTGGAACTACAAGTTCCCAAAAAACATGAGTAATTATATTTTAAAATAGTGATTTGAAGGTTTTGTTTGAAATAATAAGGAAAAAGGATTAAATATGATATGATATAGGTTTAGTATGTGATTAAATAATATTGTTAGTCCTTTATAGATTAATAATATTGAAACATATGTCTTTGTCCGAAGGAGACAAAATTTTAACTATTAAATAATTCATTAACAATATTTATTTCGTATTTTTACATTATTTTATTATATAATCAATATTGTCTTTTTGTAATTATGATATTTTTTAAAATTCGATCATTAAGTATTTGCATTTTCAGGGCATCATGCATTTATTTATATTAAATATTAAATAAAATAGTTTTCACGCAACTGTATTGTTCTATCTCCATTTTAAATTGTGGTTAAAATTAAGATTCTCATATTTCATATGGAACGTCACGTGCATCGAACCTGTTTCTATGTGTCTAATCTGAATAAAGAGACACTTGATGAGAGATGTAAAAAAAATATATACATTTTTGTTCTGATCATAGATCAATCCTTTTTAATTCACCCAACCTCTCAACCTTCTATTCACATTCCGATAAAGATTTTATATTATGAACAAAAACGAATAGTTTTTTTTTTTAATTTAATGCGCCATTTTTTTTTACTTCCATTTTTTGGTATTAAGCTGTCTAAAAATCTAAATCAGTTTGAATCAATGACATATATAATACCCAGACTGACGATTCATTCATTAAAATTTATTTTTAAGCGTCGTTAAAAGCTAATCAGCTGGAACCGCCATTTTGGTAACCCTTATGATAATTGTATCTTGATGATCCGGTAATTATTTAATAAAGTTTGCATCAGATATAGGAATAAATTAGGCTCTCGTTTAAAATTTTAAATAATGACTACTGTAACCAAGATGGCGTCCCCAGCTGATTTGCATTGATGTACACCTTTAATGAATGAATTGTCAGTCTAGGTATTATATATCATTGGTTTGAATATTAAATCCGATATTTGTAACCTAAATCAATGATTGATAATTAGGGATTAATCCCTGTTCATTATAAAATTTAAAATTTCTTCTTTTTATTTTATTCGAAATACTAATCCATTTCTAGTTTTGGAGGTGGTTTAGCTAGTAAATACACAAAAAAAAGAGGATTTAAAATAATCGATTTATTTGATTAAATCACGAATTTATTTTTTTTTGGTTTAAATCAAATTTTACTACGTAAATGTAAAATTTTAGTGGTTGAGAGAATTTATTAATTAATATAAATACTAATTACATAACCATTAAATAAGAAATTAAAATAATATAAAAAGATTAAAAATTAAGTTCGTAAAATCATGATCATTTTCTTTATTCCCTATTATATATATACTTTTCTTTCCTATTCATTTGCATCGTCTTTACTCGAATAATCTAATAAATCTTTTCGTTTTTTCTGTCAAACAATCGATTTGAATATTACTTCTTTTTTCTCTAATTTAATTCCAAGTAATTTACATATTACAAACAGTAAATAAAGGATAGCTTTTAAATATATATGCTATGAAATGAATGAAAATGGGAAGGTTATTCATAAGTAGTGTTGTAAAACGGCTCATTTTGGGCCCATTTTTAAAACGGCTAACTCAAGATTTCATCTAGCATATCATTGCGCAAGCCTGAAGATTTTGTTTGTAGAAGGAAAAGGACATTTATTAGCGAAATCTTGAGGTTTAGGCAACATTTTTCTGGCTAAAATATTGAGTTAGCCTTTTCATAAGAAAACGCATTTCCTTTCTTTCCCGAAAATATATTGCAATCATGTTTGGAAATAACCTACCTTATGAATTTCACATAATTTTGTCATGAAAACTTTTGATCTTAAATATAATTTATATAATGTTTCTACCATTGATTTTTTTTGTATATATTATAAATTATAAGTGGCTCAAAAATTATCGGTAAAATTATTTAAAATTCATAAAGGATGTAATACATTTCCATATATATATAAGAATGCATCATTTCGAGAAAAAAAAATATATACAAGGCCATAACAATTCCTAAATAAATTTTTGCAATTTTTATTATATAGCTTCTATACTAGGTTATCATTTATTTTTTTGAGATATTTATCTTTTGTATTGATCGCCCACTTTATTTCGGAAATATCTTGAATAGTCCTTAGTTTGGAAGGCTTATCGCGTGATAATAGCCCGAAAAGGGATTTAGATACTTTGTTGTATCGGATTAGCGAAAATCGATCAATTATCTATTATAATTCGAAATGGATAAGCGTACAATATTAATCCCCCCCATTATAATTTCGGGATTAAACCCCGAGTATTATACAAAATCATTTTATTTTTTAGGTAATTAGACGTAAGCAATTAAGCAAGGCTTACGCGTTAAAATAGAAGTAAAAAGGGGGAGATTTATATATATAAAAAAATGTTTTCTAACAATTATTTTAAAATACAAAAAACTAATCTAAATCTTGATGCCAACCTTAATTAGGCCACGAAAGATCGAATCGAATGATTATAATATTCATTTTTATACGAATCAATAATTTTTTGTACAGCTCTTCCAAATACAAGCTTTTTTTTAAAAAAATATTCATTAACCCCTTCTCCGTTTCCGCCTATTTAACATTGCGCCAAAACTGAATAACCCTTTAAACCGGAACTGATGAAGGTATTGCAGTGTTGTACGCGATCCGCGTCACGCCGATTTTCACTCCACCCTTTATATTAGCGGCGGCGCGGCGAATTTTTTTTTTCCACTACCTCTTTAAAGAAAACGATTTTCGATTTTTCTTAACTCAAAGTTTTTTTTTTTTAAATCAAATTATTTTGAGAACCTTTGAAATAATGTTTATTTTTTTTTTCTAATACAAAATATGATACATTAAATTACTTTCATAAAAATTATAGTTATTTGCAGAGTTGTTAAAAGATACTTTTTAAATGGATCTAGATACAGATACCACATTTTTATATCTAGATCCTTTAACAACTCTGGTTATTTATATATAAAACATATTTTGTTTGGATTGGATAGTGTTGTTATATTACCTGACTTTGACCATCTCTCTTGTGACTTGGTCAAACTTTTTAGCCTACAAAAATGTAAGCCTCCAAGTTAAGTCTCAGCTTGAAGATTGATTGGAATATTTTTGGTTAAAAATTCACTGTTTTATAGTTGACTAAAGTTAGTTAGTTTAACAACAACACTACATAAAATTATAGTTATTTACGTATAAAACATATTTTGTTTGGATTGACATTTTAATAGTTATATATTATTTGTTGCTTTCTGCTAAAATAAGTCTAAATAATATTTCAAAAAGACAATTGTAATAAAATGTCGAAGAATGGTTTATAAGAGATGAATTTTGATGATTATTATTTTTTAGTCAAAATAAAATTGATTTAAATCAAATCGATTTCAATTAAGTATGTGTATTATAAAAAATGTGTATTTTTCAAAAAAAAACAGCTATTTAAAAGTGACGATGACTGGGCAAAAGTTATTAAAGATCTAGTGGATAGTTGTAAAAAGTCTCTGATTTGTTCTAGTCAAGAATTCGAAGGTTCCCGTGTCACCTTGGATACCCTGGTACGTTTCACCCCCATTGAAACTCTTATTTTGTTTGTTTTTTTGGAAAAATCATTTAAAAAAAGATATAATCATTATTTGTCATTGGTTGCCATCTTAATACATTTTTGATTACCAACAAAAGTAAATGGGGCTTAATTAAAAAAAATTTATTAAACGATACCAAATAGGGCATAAGTATGAGCGGTTCGGAGGCTGATCATGTGACAAAACTCGAACGATTATTGATGGATTCTTACGACGAATCGGAAATGGCCAAGCATGTATCCATAAATCACGACACAGACGGCTCCATTTTTACGGCTTCTAACGAAGGTTTTTTTTTTATATGAAAGCAAAAATAAATAAATAAAAGAGAAAAAGAATAAAGAAAGTTAAAATACAATAGAATAGAATTAGAGTATAAAAAAGAAATAATAAATATTATTTAAAAACAATGTAAAGGTGGGATCGTGCTTATAGGAGGAACCGGTTCGGCAGCTCAGTTATACTATCCGCCCGAAGCCGGTTTAGTCGGTGATTTAGACAAATTTAGGATAGGAGGGTGGGGCTACCTGCTAGGAGACGAAGGATCGGGTAATGAATAAATTGTTTGGGATTTTTTTCCTTATTCCTTACTTATTGACCATCATTTCATTCATTCATTTTAATAAAATTAGCGTATTGGGTGTCTCTCAAAGCCATCAAAACTATTTACAATCATAATGATAAACTAGTCACCTGCTTTTACTCCACCCAAAAAGTGGAAACGTTGATGAACCATTACTTTAAAGTAAATCGCATTTAAATGCGTATATAAATATATAGGAATTAAGATAGGAAAAGAAATGAAGAAAGATAGAAAAGAATATAAAAAAAACGACTTGAAAAAAAAAATAGATTTAAGTTACTTTTTTTTAAATGAAAAATATTAGATACAACATCCGGATGACATATTAAAATACTTTTACAAAAATTTTGACAAATCTTTCGTGGCCAAATTTTGCTTGGAAATTGTGAGAGGTAATTTTTTTTTTAAAAAATAAATAAAAATTATTTTAATTTTCTTCCATTTTGTTTTTTTTTCAAGGCGCCAATAACCGTGACCCTTTGTGTCTCCATTTGTTAAAAAACGCGGGTAAAGAATTAGCCAAGCACGTTCTCGCTCTTTTGAGGAAAGCCGATTTGGTACGCGTTATGCACTATAATACGGAATTCGAGATCAGTCATCTGCAGCGGGCCTAATTTTTCGAGCCCGGCTCGACCCGATTTTTTTTAAGAAATTTGTTCGCCCGATCCGGTCCCGAACGATGTTTGTCCGAACCCGACCCGAAATAATAATTATTTGTCCGCCCGATCCGGTCCCGAACGATAGTTGTCCGAACCCGACCCGAAAAAATAATTATTTGTCCGCCCGATCCGGTCCCGAACGATATTTGTCGGAACCCGACCCGAAATAATAATTATTTGTCCGCCCGATCCGGTCCCGAACGATGTTTGTCCGAACCCGACCCGAAATTATAATTATTTGTCCGCCCGATCCGGTCCCGAACGATGTTTGTCGGAACCCGACCCGAAATAATAATTATTTGTCAGCCCGGCCCGACCCTAATTTATTTAATTAATTTAAAAATTTAATATTTTTTTTCGAGATTAAACCATATTTTTGATCAGATTTTATCTAAAAAAATTTTACCTTCACGATAAAATCACTAATTTCTTTTTTTTTAAAAAAAATATATTGTCAATTTTATCATTCTTCAACAATTTTTCGGGCAACTGAATTTTAAATCTTGGAAAAGTTCTTTCTAGTGTATTTTTTGAACATTTCACAATATCTATATTTTAAATTGTCGTATTTTTTGGAATTATTCGTTGAAAAATATTAAATTTATAAGCGCAAAAATTATTATATATATATGTCTCATTTTAACAAAATATATTTTCGATCAAGCGCCGATTCGGTAAACAGCCCGAAATTAAGGTTATTTGCGTTGGTTCCATGTGGAACAATTGGGAATATATGAAGGAAGGTTATTTATTATTTATTAAAATAGGATTGATTTAAATTAAAGACGATTGATCGGCTTAAGAATAATATCGAAAATTTTTCGGAATTTTGTGAATGACAGTTGTGGTTCTGATGGGTAAGATACGGAATGAGGCGTAACAGTAGGTAATTCAATTCCCGTCTGGATCTCTTTAAAATGTTTATGATTTGTTTGATGTTAAAATAATGATTTAGAAGATAATGATATGTATTGTAAGAATGAAAACTTTCTATTTTGATTGACAACTGGAACACATTTTATTTGAAGTTGTTTTCTAACCCACGTGGGCAAATTTAGATTTATTTTTCTTACCCCGGGTAAGGAAGTTTTGATATAATAATTTTAAATTACTTCTAGGATTGATCGAAACTTTGAACACCTTCACTCATCCCACACCAAAAGAGAATCCTGATCTCGTGAAAGCAGACGAAAATGGTCTAGATTTTAATCACTCGGATATTAATGATGCTAATAATGGTAAATTGAAAAATGGCATCGATTCTGATCCCCTATCACTTCCGGTGTTGTCATTTTTTTGCCTCCGAGAAACGGCCGCCATTGGAGCGGCTTATTCGTCCGCATTGTCCCGTCTTAACCGTAAAATTCCCATCGATTATGCCAAAACAACGCAATTTTTATACACGCACTATTTCTGAATTTCTTCCCTCTCCCTCACGATAAACAGACTATATCATAAATTTTAAATATTGAAGATGATTGACGGATCGAACGCCTTATTTTGACAGTATTCATTTATATATGGAAAGAAGTATTTTTTTTTATAATATATTATATAAATCCCACCGATTTATTGAAGGACGATCCAAGAGCAGGCGATAATTTACAAACCTCTTTTTTTACATGTATCATTGCGCCTATTTTATTTTGTGTATTATCTCGCTTTTATTATAATATAAGTAAACATCCTACATACGGGTAATATCATTTTATTCTCGTATCTTGTTATAAAATATTTAACTTCCTGTTTATCCCAACACCTATCAACTAATATTTAACCGTTTATCCCGTGCTGCACATTACAATAAATATCGATTTCCGGTCAACGTTTCATCCGGGAATAATATATTTTTGAATGACTTTTAAAAATCAATCTGACATTTATTTATTTCTAATTTTCGCGATGATTTTTTTTTTAATTTTTAAAATGGGTAACCTTATTTGATTTCTAGTCTAGTTGCTAAATTAACATTTTTTTCCCCACTCCCCCTTCCATCTAAAACATGGTGGCTTAAAATATTTGAATGACTTAAAATTCGCTCGTTTATGGCTGAAATAGGTAGATAAATCATTCTAATATTTGAGCTACAACGTTTATTTATTTATTTTTACCTTTAAATTCTTTTTTAAGATCTTTACGTGGCAATGATCTCTTCTCGCTTTCTATTTTTATCACGTGGTACTTTCTAATATTTTGCAATAACTGTTTTGATATAATAAAATTTGATGTTTTATTATACGAGTCAAAAAGATTAAAATTCTCTATTTGGCATTCAATGTTTGCCGAACCTTATTATGATAACTTTGCGAAACTTTTCTAAGAATCCCCAAATATATTGTGAGAGAAAAAAAGCAATAACAAAGTACTTTATTTTTGTAAAAGGTTGATAGCCCAATTACAACCCTATTTATAAAATATGGTATAATTATTATAATTTAATTTTACATTAATTTTTGTACTATCTATAATTATAACATACAAGATTCTAATGTAAAAATTTTTTTATAATAATCTTACAGTGACATGCCAAATTTTAACTAATTTTTTTTGATTGTTTAAAATTGTGATTCTAATTGTACTACACCAAAAATATTCAGACTTTACTATTAACTATATTAAGTACATGGTCATATCAGTCTTTTTAAACATTGTCTTGTTATAATATATTATATTCTTACCGCTTTCGCATAATATCATTTATTTAATTTTATTTTTTTAAATAATGTCCTCCAAAAAAATATGAAATTTCGCGCAAAGTATAAAATTTATATATTTATTTTTAAATCATCGATAGTGGTGTGTTTATTTTAAAAATGCAAAAAATTTACGAAATTAAATTGTATATTAACATAATTACGCACGTGGAAAATAAAAACAAAATTTGGCAAATTTAGATATTTAGTGCCATCTATTAATCTTTTTTTTATAAAGAATATTTAGCTAATCTTATATAATAATTAACATCTGGTGGGCCAAAAAAAAATCGTAGCGTTTTTAAATCATTATAAGAGTGCTTACAAATTGAGCGCTTTAAACGCTGAGTTACAAAGTGCAAATAATGAATTTCAAAATAGCCTAGTGCAAATTGTAAAATTACCGTTTGTCGTTAGCAATTATTTAAAAAAAACACAAACAGGTTTGCTTTTCCAATACTCTTTTTATTCTTCGTTTTGTGATATTTTATAAAAATGTAATATAAATATTAACTTACTTATAATCCTAAAAAAGAATATTTAAAAATTAAAGAAATAAGAACGCACGCAGACGATAATATAATTTTCAAAGACAAATCCTTTTTATTTTGAACTTATTTAAAATTTTGAATAAGTTCAAAATAAAAAGACAATCCTCAATTTAAACAAGGGAGACGTTACGTTTTTTTTTGTTTAAAAATTACGGCAAAAACGTAAACGTTCAATTTGTGAGCATTATTATGTATTACAAACGCCTTGTGGTTAACGTTTACCAATTTTGATTTTACTATTTAAAATAAATTATTTGAAATATAACGGAAAACGCTTCGATTTGTGAGTACCATACCTATAAAACATGTCATTCGATTATAAAATTTCGTATTTTATTGAATATTTAAGAAACTCAAAATATATTTATAATTTGATTTATAGTCAGTTTTTATTAAAAAAGATTCGAAAATGCTAAAATTTGACAAAAATATTTTTTCCCTAAACGAGCTAGATGTGCTTTCCAGTAGGTTGGAGTTATAGTGGACATTTTTCTTATGTCAAATATTTCGGTTACCAAACAAATTTGAATTAGAAGGTATTTATTGGCTTATAATGATTTAACCTTATTAGCACCAAAAAAACGATAATTTTGAATTAAAATGTTGTCAAAATAAGATCTTATAGGAATAAAATTGTAATTTTCCAAGTTTGATTCGTAAATTTTCTATATAAAAAAAAAGAAATATTTGTTCAGTATAGCGAACTTTAAAGTAACTTATTCTTGTTCCGAAAACAAGGCCCCTGTTCTAGGTCCATTTGTATTATCAAGTGCGAAACGAATCAAAAGAGACTATAAAATTTTACAACTTTTTTGGATCTTTAGACGAATTTAGGACAAAAATATTCGAAACTATGGCCCCCTTAATTTCGTTTAGAAAAATAGACAAAGTTAGTTCGATCGGTGGAAGATGATGGGATTGTTATTCAAGAAAATTGAGAACCGATTCAATCTATTATATTTCCTTAATTACACAGTGATGTTATTGATTTTAAATAAATATTTCATGTTTGTTTTGCAAATCTATGATTATGCAAAAAAAAGGCGAGCTTTGTACTAGTCAAATATACTGGGAACTTCGCTATCAGAAGAAAAAACTTGAGGGTCTTGAATTATTCTATATAAAATTTTTAACATATTTATTTCTGTTCAGTTCTTAAAAATATTTTAAGATATATACAATAACATTAATATCTAGAAAGACGATGCATTCATAATAATGCATTTGAAATTGTCTTTGAATGCAAATCAGCTCGACCCGCCATTTTGGTAACCCATATAGTAATTATTCTCATGTTAAAAACTGCTATTAAATAGATAACCCGCTTCCATACTCTCTTGATAATCAGGCAATTCTTTAATAAAGTTTGCGTCAGATATAGTAATAAATTGGCATCTCTCTTAAAATTTTTAATAATGATATGGGTAACCAAAATGGCGTCCCCAGCTGTTTTTCATTGATGAACACTTTCAATGAATGCATCGTCAATCTAGGTATTATATGTCACTGGATAAGTATCCTTTTAATGAAATACTAAAATTTTTTAAAAAAAACTACACTTTTTAGAATTATAAAGATTTCAAAACCAAATGTGTTTTCTTACCCACATGGTATATAAGAACAATATTCTTAAAAAAATACAAGAATACCTGTCTAATTTGGGCACCCGTAATTACATAATATTTTTGCTCAACTTTTTTAAATGCATTAGTAGTTAATAAGAATTTAATATGGGCTCAAAATTTTGGTCAAATTAAGAAGTTGCCCTAATTATCACTAGGCAAATTTTTATTGTGCATGTATTTGGTATGATGATTCTGCATTTTGTAACTGTAAAAACGAATAGGTAACTTGCAGAATTCATCAGATAAAACGAGGGATATTATTCTAAATTTATGAGTATCGCCGCATAATTTACTCATTATAATGTATGTTAGCGGCAATATGAGGTCTGACTGTAGCCATTTAAAATTAAAAGTTTCGTGCCAAGACATAGAAATTTATTTTTTGTATTAAAATTTATATCATTATATACCCTCCCAAAAAAAATTATACAAATACGACACGCATCTAACCCCTTTATAAATTCCCTGATTAATATATTAAATTATTTAATGTAAATGGGAAGATGATATTTAGGCTATTATAATTAAACAATCAGTAATTTATAATGTACACAGCCTTGGTGGGGGGGGGGGCGAAAGGGGTTTCCTACAGAGAATTTTCTGTCGTGCAAATGCTGTAACTTAAAATATGATTGAAATTAAAAAAACGAAATTTTGGACCAAAAAATAATAAAAAAGAAATTGTTTTATTTAGCCCAAGGTTTAAATAAACGCAGTTATAAATAGTGGCATATAGAGGATATGTGGCCTTAAAAGATTTTGTTTTATAGGTATATAAGTATATTGTTTAACATACACCCCCAAACCACTATTTCATGTCCATAATTTATATTTCCATATAATTCCCAATAATATATAATATATACTCACAAGATACAAATCTTAAAAACAAAGATTGATAATTGTAATATCTTAATCTTTTCGAAAATGTATAGAAAAACGTCCATACCTGTCAATAACAAATCGACAGATACAACAATTTGGCCCATCGAATAAATTATATCGGAAAATATTGAATATTCATTATCAGAGTTGTACAAAAGATCTTCTTTGAAGATTTTTGAGCGAGATCTAGCTCAAAAATTTGAGCAAGATCTTTGAAGATCGTAAAATTTGAAGATCTTTTATTTTTTAAAAATTTCGTGTAACGATCTTCAAAAATCTTCATGATATTTATTTTTTTACCCCTTTATTAAGAGCCCAGATGTTTTTCAATTTTCATCAAGGCAGGGGGAGAGGTATAAAACATAAAAGAAATATTATATTAATAAAATTGAAAAACATCTGGGCTTTTAATAAAGGGGTAAAAAAATAAATATCATGAAGATCTTTGAAGATCGTTGATCGCAGCGATCTTCAAAGATCTTTTTAAAAAATAAAAGATCTTCAAATTTTACGATCTTTGAAGATCTTTTTATTTTGAGCAAATGTACAACTCTGTTCATTATATATATATGCATATATTAAAAAAATCATTTATTTGATTCAATTATGAAGCCAAATATTTTTTTTTTGAATTACATAAAATTATAAATCCTCGGAAAAACAATGGAAAATAAATAAAGAATGCATGTTATTTTTTAATATGCCAATCATCCCAAAAACTCGTTTTTAATGTCCATCTTCGGTGGCTATATGTACGGGACCATATTTTTCATTATACAATTTGATGTACTCCTTCTTCCGTTTTTCCCTCGTGGAAAAATAGGTGGGGTATTGCATTTTTTCTAGCGGGTGCCAAAAATCTAAAATCTATTTTATTTTTTTTTGCCGTTTGTTAAAAAAAAAAAACTATTTACCAATAGTAAATTTGGAAAAGGGCGGGGAATTCAATTTCGACCAATAAGGTGATAGAAAATAATTTATTATGCGCAATATACAATACGAATACTTACAACATCGTCGATAGCTGGATATCTTTCGTACGCCACTCCGCCGGGAGATGAAGGAACTTGTATGTATTTTTTTTTTTTAAAAAAGAAATAATTATATTCTTCCATTCCTACCTTTTCACTTTTAATTTTCTGCCTATCAAAAAAAGGAAGAGAGAATCAACTATTGGTATTATTTGAATGTAACCATTATTCGATTGGTCAATTCAAGAGTTAAATTTATATTAAAAAAGAGATTAATAAATCGTCGGTTGAATGTTATAATGTTCTAAATCCACGCATTGTTACATTATGATCTCATATTTAATATGCGAAAAAAAAATAACAACTGAACGATTTAAAAAGGATATAGTAGATAGAACACTATAATATTCATCTGAATAAATGTAGAAAATATATTTTTTTTTAAAAAAATAAATAAATAGTTCCACAAGGAATACGTTAAACTAACTAATATTTAAAAATAATAATTTCGTTTTAGACATAATCTTTAAAGTTAAAATTATATTTTACAGATCAGGGGCTGAGGGTGCCTATATTTGTGACATTCCCTTTCTCCTGCCATCAAAAGCTGCTTCGCTTTGATCATGTCTATAACGTCTTTATTGGCGTCGAATCGAGCCCTCAGCACAACGGCGTGATATCTCCACAGGTAACTAAAATTATATTATTATACGTCTCGTAAATTATATCCTCAACCGTTATCAGAGGCCTGCATTGCATACTTTGAATGGGCATGTTAGGCTTTTTTTATAATATTTTCCATGTTTGGCGGGGGGGGAGGGGGGGGGGGGGTTTACACATAACTTATAGATAAAGGGGCTGGCGTACAAGTGAGCGGGTTAAATAATTTTCGAAACAACGGGTGGACGGGCTTTTTAGCTGAAAAGCCGCCGATTGCAGACCTCTAATCGTGATATCATTATAATTGAAAAGATCATATCGCCTTTAATTAAATCATTCTTTCAGGGTTGCACGCAATTTCAGCATATCTATAAATTTAATATATTATTATTCTTTATTCTTTTACACTGTTTTTCTAATAATTTCTTAAAATAATTAAGGCGACTGGATAATTACTTTTTTTTACATAAAAATATGGTCATCTAAATGGGCGCTATATATACATGCACTTTTCGATGCTGTAAATAAGAATTTTTTTTTTTAAATATTGTTTATAATTATCAAAAGTAATATAATGTGTATTATAAAAATTTACAACGTCGTTACATTTAAGTTACTTTAAAAAGGTAACGCTATCACTTAATTACCAAACAAAAATTGTTTTTCTTTTTTGATAAATTGTACAGGATTTTTTTTTTTTTGGGGGGGGGGTAATTTTAAAAGAGTGATTTGTTTTTCAAAGTTTATAAGATCGTTTATTTATGGGCACCACATTTGCTATACTGAACACTAGCTTAATAGGTGCTGGGATGGCAAGGGTGTATTCAGGGTTGGGGTGGCATCGTGGATATTTATATCTAAGATGCAAATTATTCAAAAAATAACTGTCTGCATTCAAAAATATAGATACCTTCTTTTAAATAAAAAATTATATTCGTTTATTTTAAATAGTATTAAAATTTTTAGATGATATTATATTTTAAAATTTAATCCAAGTTTAAATATTTTAAGATAGGGAAATGATATAATATATCCAACATTACTCCAAAAATTATGAACCAAGTTATTGAAGACAAAGTATAATTATAGAATTGAAAAATAAAAAATCAAGGATATTGTAATTACAAATATAAATAATTACTGCAGAGTGTAAAGAATGCCACAAATTTATAAGTGGCTCTGCAGGCTCATTATATAATTTTGTCAAGCATCTAAAAGTGTATTATATAATTTTATTAAAAATTACATTTATATGATAATTATTTTATATAATATCATTTATTAGCTAAATTTAAGAAATTTTTAAAAAATAAATTTTTATTTTCATGATTGATAATGAAATAAAAATGATATATAAAAAATCATTTAGAATTGAATAGAATAAGCTAAAAAAAAATTTTGAGATACATGAATCATAATGTATATTACATAAATTATCAGAAATACTACAATAACAAAAAAAATTTTGAAAACTGCAAAAACTTATAGATAAATTTTTATTTTTTATTTTAAAGTGTTCTTAGTTACTTTAAAAAAAAAAGATTCAAATATTTATTGAAATTATTCCTAGGTATCTAATGTCTAACAACATACAAAATTTTAAAAGCATCTGTATCTATACCCATATATAATTTTCTAAAAATATGAACAACCCTAAAATTATTATATATTAACATAATGTAACATTACTTTTTGGATAGTAAAACACAAAAAAAAAGATTTACATTATCTTAGTTTATAATAATTGATAATTAGCTAAAATTTTGTTTTTAATAGTTGAAACTGAACCTATATTGAAAATTGAAAAGAGGTCAGCTGAAAATCTCATTTTTCTTGCTTATTTAACATTACATTAGGTAATTTGGGGAGAAAATAAAAAAAAATTCACTATTTGTTTAACATAAATGAGAAATTGTTAATATTATATATATATATAGTTAAACTAATATTATTCGTGGATCAATTGGTAATTTTTTGGAGGTTTGGGTTTGCTTCATTTGCTCATGCCCAATTTTGAAAGCAGTTAACAATTAAATGAAATTTAAACAAATAGGACAAACCAAATAATATATATGTAATCTTACTATAAGTCATAATGATCTCTTAGCGTTTTTAGGGATTGTTTATATAATCTGCAAACTCTTTGCCTATGAGATAGGACCCTAGTTTCTAAGAATGACATCAAAATTTCTATGCTACTTAATCTACCATGAAATCAAAAACGTGATATGTGTCATTTGTTGCTTTATAAAAGGCACATGACATGAGACACTTTTCATTTGAAAATGAAATTGATTATATGAGATAATTAGTTTTATTTATTAATAGACATATTTAAAAATATTAGAATAAAGAAATTATAAAATAATGTTGTAATATGATAATTCGAAAATTATTTTCTATAAAAATCTCGATTCACTTATGCTTATAAATGCTAGACTGCTAGTTTAAAATCTATCTTGCCTTAGCAATATCTATGTAACTGTAAACTTAGATTTGGCTGATAAATTCCTAATTCAAAAATATGGCAATCTTTTGTGCTTTATTAGTGTCTGCTTTTAACCAGTACAGTATCCAGATAAATAGAAAAAATTATTTGTAACAGGATTTTGGCAACCTTTAATTAATGTTTCAGAAGTTTCAGTAAATTCTATCAAAGTTATCATAATTGTATATTAATTTATCCATTTGGCAGAAAGTCTATAAATAAAATAAAATTGCTAAAATAGACATCGTGTTAAGATGAAAAATATTTTAAAAAAACTATATACATAGTGTGCGCTAATTTAATACCTAACTAGTACTTTCAATTCCTCTCTCAAATCTGAAAACTACGAAAAGAAACTGAGTTATAAACAAAATTTATTAATGCTCTATTACCAACTATCAAAATATTAAGAACCGAGTAATTTCAATTCCTCGCTCAAATCTGAAAACCACAAAAAGAAGCTGAGTTATAAACAAAATTTATTAATGCTCTATTACCAACTATCAAAATATTATGAACCTAAAGGAGTTATTTTTAGAACATGAATTAAATTAAAAACCCCCACATTTACAAAGAATAGAATACATTATTTTAGTATATTGTTTGGTATGTATATGAGTTTACAGATATAGCAAAAAGTGATCCAAAAATTGTTTTATTTGGAAAACAATGTTGATTGTGTGCAATACATAGATTTGGTCGATGATTAGCAATATTATTGTATTTATAATAGGTCTATAATAAAATTATTAATTTTTACAATTTTACTCTATTTTATCTAAAAATAATATAGATAATCTGTCAATAAATTTATCCTACTCCTAGTCTACACCCCCTTCCCCTCCCCCAAATTCCTACCCCCTACCACCATCAAAAAATGGATGCAAACTGTTCCTACCCCCACCGTTCACGTAGAGACTGCTCTATAAACCCCAAGAAATTCGAATTCATAGCTTTCGAGTCAATTGAATTCACATAACTTTAAAATTACCACTCAAGAAGTACAGGCTCCCCTGTTGGAGTTTTACAGCAATCTCCTTACTTCATTTCACACCTGATACGATTATTGAGTTGTCTGATTTATATCACTTCTCTCCTATACTTTTTTCTATTTAGAAATTTTTTTTAAATATTCCTCGCATCCTATATGCGCTACGATCGACTTCCCTTTTTAAATATCCCACACATCCGAGTTTTTATGAAAATGTAAAGTCATTAAAAAATTTAAAACCTTAAGATCTATAAATTAAGTTGGACAAGTTTCTTTACCCAACAAGGCGGGTAGAATAGGAATCAGGTCTCCTATCAATCCTGCCCGCCTTCATATTCATATTATAAATTCCAATTTTATTAAACATTATTCTATTATCGATTAGAAATATCACAAATTATTCCTGATCATTTTACATATTTATAGAATGAACTAATAAGTAAAAATTTATAGGCCTAAAATAAATCGACAATTCTAGAAGAAATTATAAACGACCAATCCAAATCATAAAACTATTAAGTGGTCAGAGCTTCCTTTTAGATGAAATGATAATAGCTAGATAAGTAATCGAGAAAATTATTGTGAGATATTAAATTTCTAATAGATTATTATCCATTTTAAATTATGTCTAATATATATAATCTCCATAATCAAAACATGGTCGTTTTCGTATCTTCCTAATATATTTAAAATTTAAGAAGACTATATAGTGTAATGTTATTTTTTTGCTCTCTACGAGAGTCGAACCACAAACCTCCCATTTCAAAGTCACTTGTTTTAAGCGTGCACCAACTTGAATATAATTAAATTGAAAATATTAATTATATATATATATTAATTAATAGCTGATATTTTAAAATTCTGCCATTTTTTACCATACTAGCTGACGGGGTTGAAGGGTAATTATTTAGTTTGTGTGTATGTTACTAAATAACTTTATTAATAAATTTTATATAAATATTAAAATTTTGGAGAAAAAGGGGTAAAATTGTTGCAATCAAAATTTAAATTTGTGCTGGAAATCATATTAAATTCTTTAAGATTTTTGTATTTTAAATATGGGTTATACATTGGCCTGAAAATTTTTTTTGCAGACATAGCCAGGCCTGATCAAAAAACCAAGTCCCATGCAGCTTTCATAAAATTTTGCCATTTATTTTTATTTAATGTCTTAAATTTAATTTTATATTTAGAATAAAATATAGATTTTGATAGAAATCACATTGTTATAAAATAGAAATAAATGCTTGATAATTTTTTATTTTAAATATGGGTTATACATTGATCTGAAATTTTTTTTTTGCAGAAATCGCCAATCCTGATTAAAAAACCAAGCCCATGCAACTTTCATATTCTGATTTTATTTTTAAGTGAATTATGACTTTTATATATTTTATTTAAGTTCTCAACTAACTAAATTATTATGGTCTTTGGCGGGCTTGAGAAAATTTTCTCAACAATATGGTTTTCAGAGATTTACCTATCTCCAGGCTTGGGAAAAAATTACAAATTTATTATGGGTTAGCCAGGATTGAGAAAAAAAATTCAGGCCAATGTCTGGTCCATATTTAAAATTAAAAAATTTTCAAGCATATCTATTTTGAATTTTACCCAATATGATTTCTATCACAAATTTGAATTTTATTCTAAATATAAAATTAAATTTGATATTGTTATTAAATTACAATAGAAATAAATGGAATATAAAATTAAATTTAAGACATTGATATTAAATTACAATAGAAATAAATGGCAAAATTTTATGAAAGTTGCATGGGACTTGGTTTTTTGACCAGGCCTGGCTCTGCAAAAAAAATTTCAGGTCAATGTCATGTCTACCCATTTAAAATTAAAAAATTTCCAAGCATCTCTATTTTAAATTTTATTCAATATGATTTCTATAACAAATTTTAATTTTATTCTAAATATAAAATTAAATTTAAGAATAAGACATTATTATTAAATTACAATAGAAATAAATGGCAAAATTTCAGGTAAGTTGCATGGGACGTGGTTGTTTGAAAAAAAAAATTTCAGGCCAATGTATAACCCATATTTAAAATTCAAAAATTTTGAAACATCTCTATTTTTAATTTTACCCAATATTATTCCTATCACAAATTTAAATTTTGATATTTCTAATACCCTTAATGCTCACGGGTTACATTGCAACAATTTTACCTCTTTTTCTCCTAACTTTTAATATAAAGCATATTTAGTACCATATATACAAACCAATTAATTATCCCTCAACCCCGTCAATCTTGATGGGTTATTAGCTGTAATATATAAACGACTACACAGTTGACCATTATTGTTTATCTAAAATATGCAATCATATGCTCATAGCCGTTGTATTAATAATCTTATATTACATAGTAACACAAATAATAGATGCTGGTTAATTTGCAGTAATAGCCATGACACTCACGATGTAAACTAGTATCAGAATTTATTATGTTGGATAAATTGTAAAATAAAAACACTAAAAATCTTTGGGTGAAAATATATTGAAGCCTTGAGTTATTTACACGGCAAGGATACCATATAAGAAATGAAACCTTTTAGAACTATAAAATAAGGACCAGAATGATATGCTGAAAAATTAAGATTTTATATATTGTCGCACCACCTCTAGTTGGTATATTATATTTTAAAATAATAGTAGTTTGTAAAAATATCAAAAATATAGTATTAAAAATTTAACTCAAAACTGTTTTTTAAAAAATAAAAAAATAAAAGAAAAGATATCTAATTTATTACATCTATTGTAGGATGAATAATAAAATGTTAAATAAAAATTACTTACACCTCAATAGATGTTAAATACTAGAATAAAAATTACTTACACCTCAATAGATGTTAAATACTAGAAAGCAAATTGTTACTGCATTTATTATCAAAAGCATTTATTAGTTAAATTCATTATTATATTAGCTGTAATATATTATAACTGCCAAATACGTCTATATAAGTGGCATTTATATAATATTTTATAATATGTCATTGATATTTATTTAATTAGGGTTATAAAATAATTTAAATAATAATAGTCAATTATGATTCAACTGTTAATGCTAAATTAATATTTAGTGAGTGATATTAATATTCTATTTTAACACAAAATTTGATTGCTAGCTGACATAGTGAAAATATAATTTATGTGTATTAATTTAATCTAATATTTAAAATAGTATTCATTTTATAAATATTTAGATAGTCTTATTAGTTTTTAAATAATAAAATTAAATCTATATTTTACTTAATAGAATTATAAGAAATCTTTCAGGGGGCAATCAAAAAAAAATATTTTTAATTCAAGGGGTTAAGATTCCATTTAAAAAATTTTTTTTTGCTTCAGGGTGCTATTCAAATTTTCTAGGGGGCTCGAGCCCCTGCGCGCTCCCTAGCGCCGTCACTAAAATAATATCACTCATTACCATATTCGTTTAAACTGCTTAATAACCCAATACCACACTAATTCTGTTTGTTGTTCTGCCATCGAAGAAAATGGATGACAGAAGACATAATCTTTATTGTCGTTCGTCAAGGTCAAATTATTAGACATAATTTATATAATTTGATTATCCTTAGAGCTTTGAGATCAGCCCAAATTCCATCTCTTGAACCTTCATGTCTTTTCAGATTTTATGGGAAACATCTAGATGTGATTTATCAAATTTCCTGGAAGGAGGTCAATTCCTGGTCTTTGATTGCTCGTATATAGATTCATCGACTCCTTCCAATTAA